GAGCCATACAAATCGCATAGTATAATATCCACGCTCTGTCTCCCTGGGTTGTTGTGGCACTCCGGGAACATCGATCCAAATATTCGCTACAGAATTTATAATCTCTTCTTCTAAATATCCTTCAACAATACTGCCGTCAGGTCTATACTAGTTCCTCACATATCCTTTTAGAGTACCCATAAATAATTCTAAAGTACACATATATCTTAGAAATACAAGGCCACAAAATTTAACTTCTCTCACCAAATGTACAATTAAATGGACCATGATATCAAAAAATGATGAAGGAAATTAAAGAATATTTCAAATTAACATAAGGTGACTACCACTTCCTCTTGTAACCGATCTAGTGTTTCAGCATCAATGACCTTACTATAAATTGCATTGAAAAAATAACAAAGTCTAGTTATTGCCCCCCTCTCATTCGTTGGCAATATTGATCTAATAGCCACCGGTAAGAAATCCTGAATTAGTACATGACAATCATGAAATTTAAGACTATTCAATTTCAAATCATTCATTAACACACGACTCTTAATGTTTCCGGCCAGCATACCCATGTGGAACCTTTATATCATGTAGACATTGACAAATAGATTTTTTTTCTTCTCTAGAAAGTGTGTAGTAAGTCGGAGGTAGAAATATGCGATGTTCTTTTTCTTACGGACCAAGCTCAGTATGAATGTCCATGTCTATTTGATCTTTTTTGGGAGGGTGCCAATAAGACTATCTCAAACATTTTTGTCTATATGCATCACATCAAGGCAATGTCTTACAGATAAGCACTCTGAATAATATAGTTCCCAAAATATTGACTTTTTCTTTCAAATTAGATAGTTTGGATCAACTTTTTATGTCTTACCAAAAGTATTATTTATGTTCTTTAACTTTTCGTGCAACGCTTTGCCAGTCAATACTTTCGGAGCAACCTCATTTTCTGCTTTGCCATTAAAAGCTTTTCTCATGTAACGGTAATGATGATGACGTTTTAAGATCGAATCGACAGTGACCTAAGAAGACTAATTTTTTCCCATTATTTAGTCACACACTTGAAGTATTCTCCTCACATATCGAACATGCATACTTTCTTTTAATCTTATTAGCAGATAGCTAGGTTAGCAAATGCTCGGTAGTCATTGATTGTTGAAAGATTCATAGCATACAACGTGAAACACTCTTGACGATAAGCATCAAATACAATGACACCATGAATCCACATTTTCTTCAAGTCATTAACCATCGGGGCTAGGAATACAACAATGTCATTACCCAATTGTTTAGGCCCAAGTATAAACAAAGATAACATGATGACTTGCGCTTCATGCACAGCTCTAGAGGGAGATTGTAAATCACAAACAGCCAAGTACTATGTTGCGTACTCAAGCTTCCAAAAGGATTGATCCCGTCAGTACACAATCCCAATCAAAAGTTTCTCCCCTCATTCCCAAACGTGGGAAATGTGTAGTCAATCATTTTCCACTGCGGGGCATCGGCAGGGTGACAAAGGGTGTCATTATCTTTTCGCTTCTTTATGTGCCACGCTAGACTCTTTGCATCTTTAATTGAAGGAAACAAGCATTTGAACCTTGGTATTATTGGAAGATACCCCAAAACCTTAACCGGAATATTTTTTATATTTTTCATATTGTCCTTGTTAGGAACGCTTTTGGTCGACTCCTTGTATCTTGGAGCATAACACCTGGGACATTTGTTGAGATCTTGATATTCATTTCGGTATAAAATGCAATCACTAACTCAAACATGTATCTTCTTGTACCTTTTTTCTATGGGAGAAATCATTTTCTTCGCCTCATAACTGGATGATGGTCGTTCGTGTCCTTCTGAAAGAAGTTCACGTGACAAACCTAACAAGGACGTGAAGCTCGTGTCACTCCACCCACTTACTACTTTTAAATTGAACAATTCAAAAAGCCCTTTCAAACGTGTAAACTTTGTACAACCAGGATACAACAGCCGTTTTGAGTTTCCTGTTAAACTCTCTTAAATATTACTCTCTTCATCGATGACATCTTGATTAGGAAGAACATTTTGAGTAAACCCTAACTCATCTTCCCTTTCAACCTCAAAACTGTGGATATCGTAAATATCGCCTTCTACATGTTCGTTATGAGTATATCTAGAGTTGCAAGCATTTTCTAACTCTCCATGACATTTCCATTGCTTGTATGTTGAGTCAAAACCCTTGCGATACATATGAAATTTTATATCCTTAACGCTATCAACCATAAAATGGTTATGACATAAGTTACAAGGGCAATATATCTTTTTACCCTCTTTTGAATGTTTCCCTACGAAGCAAATAAACTTCTCTAAACGAGAACTAAACTCAGATGATGTACGCGACATATTAATCCAACTTCGATCCATGATATGAATTGCTATGAAATAGATGAACAACGGTAAAGGATTGGGTACGAAAAAATTCACAACATAATTAACACTCATTTCACATATATACACATACATATAATAAATGCAGGCAACCCAATATTGAGTAATTTACCTAAATAGGACTAATAAAACATAATGACTTTCTCAATATATGATAATATGTTTTTAATTCCCAATGTAGGACCATTGGTCATTATCTATTAGTCATTATTCAACTAAATGTCCAGCATCACTTGGACATTATTCTTCTCACTAGACATTATTAAGTCCTATTTAGGGAATAAAAAGGTTTAAGTCCTACATTGGAAAATGACTTATGTTTTAGTCTTATTTACTTCAAATTTCACATATTTTACTTCTTATGATGTAACAAAAATCTGGCAGCATTTCTTCATTATACAAATAGTCCTTCTTTACTTCATCTTAACTCATTCTTTAAATGCTGCCCTCACTAGTAAATACATTTTATTTTCTTTGATCTATCATGATAGAATTTGGGATGGGATATGGACAACTGGATTGGGTAATAAGACACTTGGATTGAACGACATTAAAAGATTGAATCCAATCGATTAGTTAGTTTAACTCAAGAGCTTATATACCGGATTATTTTACATTTGGACTTCCGATGTGGGATGCACTCTAACATATCAAAATTTCGACAGCTTTTTTCAATGGTTCTCCAAGTGCACAATGTAATGTAGTTACATATGCACCCGAAGAATGCATTTCGAAAACGTCAAACCAAAAAAATGATAGAACAAAGAAAAAGAAATACATTCACCACCTAAAGTGAGAGAAGCATTTCAAGAACTGCTCAAACTGGGAGCTCTTTAAAATTTACTAATGAGTAAATTTTAAACGGGTATCTAGGTCAGTCGATATATGTCATTTCTACATAAAAATATCTCAAATCATGTAGCATCCAACAAATAAATAATATACAATGCATGTTCCAGTTAACATCAAACAAGTAAACAAAGAATAAATAAACAATATAACATCACATATTCTCTAAATACAAGAATATACAAATTAAACAATTTATAACATCACATATTCTATTAATACAAGAATATACAAACAATTAAAATTATATTTAGGATTTAAATAAAAAAACATTAAAATAAAATATGATATAGCCTCAAGTATTTAATTAATGCAAAAATATACAAATAAATAATAGTATAATTTACGATTTAAAGTGAAAAAAAATACCTTAGAATAGAATGAGTGAGGACCGGGGGGGGGGGGGGGTAACGACAGAGCAGCGTCGAAGATGAGAGGACAACGTCGGGAAGGTGTCGATGACGGGAACGAGGCGACGATGCAAAGGAGCAAGGAAGAAGACAACGTGGAGGACGGTGAAGCGGTGGTGGCGATGACGGGGGTGGATGGCGAAGGAGCGATGGTGCAGTGGCGACGACGACGATGAAGGAGTGAAGGAAAATTCGATCGCGTAAGAACGATAGGCAGCGTGTGGTTATGTTTAATGCATCCTTTTGAATCAATTATTTGTAATAATCGATTCAAAAGGCTAATTGCATTGGTTATTACTAAGAACTGATTTAATTGCTATTGGCTGGCGAAAAGGCAATTGAATTGGTTATTAGTAATAACTGAAGCAATAGCCCTTTTGAATCGGTTATTATCAGTAACCGTAATAACCGATTCAATTGCTAACGGTTGGCGAAATTAATTACTCCATTTGCATAGGTTTTCTCTAAAACCGATGCAAATGTGGTAGTCAATTCGGCTCTTTTTGTAGTAGTGAAATGATTTAGAAATGGGCAAAATGTAAACAATTTACTTAATAGTAAATTCTGAAAATGGTCCTTTGTAATAAGGTATTTTCTCAATTCAGTTCTCAATAAATTATAATTACCTACCCAGTCTTTTATAATTGAGACTTATTTCTTAGTTAGTTCATCCTAAATAATGTTATTCAAATGATGATTAATTAAAAGTATTTTAGTATTTCTATAATCTAAATATAAAGTATATTCTCAAAATGATCATTTCTATACAATTAAATGTAAAAATTAAAATAACACATTGACTATACATAAGCCATGAATTATTATAAATCTTTCAAAATTCAAATCAAATACACATCTTTAATTAGAAAAAACCATTTCAGGAAAGCTCTTCATTAGAAATGATTATTTTAAGAACTCATTCTAAATTTAGCGGAAAAAATTCCGAAATACCATCTCAGTTAATCATAATTTGAGTAACATTATTTATGAAAGACTATCAAAGAAATAAATCTCAACTATAGAGGACTATGTACGTAATTAAAACTTATTGATGACTAATTTGGAAAACACCTTATAAGGTTGATTTGCTCATTTATAATTAAATTGTTTTATATTGTCATATAAAGTTTATTGAGAACTAATTTAAGAATTTACTATTTACTTAATTAATAAATACTTAATTAATTTACTAGGTATATTTTAAGAAGCTTGGATGAATACAAATTGATAGTAATTTAAACTCAATATTTGTTTAGTATGACTCGAAAAAGTTAAATTAAACAAATATATGATACTACTTATTATGACCGACTTTTTATGATACATTACATATAGGGTAGTACTTTATAATAAGTCCCAAAATACTCCGTAAAAAATAAAATAAAAAAGGCTACTAGTAATATACTCCGTAACTAATAGTGATGGTGATGAGAATGGTACATTGAGGTAGCCGGCGGGGGTTCGTCTGAACTGTTTTCCGATGATCTGTGGTTGTGATGATTGCTACTGCTACTCTCCACCGCCGCCCCGAGGTTCAGATACAACGTTCTTGCTGCTGACGAATCGTCGTGGTTGAGGTTAACCATGGTTATGTTTCCACCGCTGCAAATTCGGTGACGATCATCGTCGTTCGCCGGCGGTGGCGGTGGGTACATGACCGTGGGCGATGTGATGCTGCTGTTGGTCCCATTACCTGTCCCCGTTACGTTAAAAATAAAGAGGAATTTACTTAAATAGCACTAAAACATAATGACTTTTTCTAAATAGCATTACATGTGCTTTTTTTCCAAATGTAGCAATTTTAGTTTTTATCCATTAGTCATTATTCAAGTAAATATTTGTCATCACTGGACATTATGGACATTAGGGCCAATAGCGCTAATACCCCTCGTGGTTTGCAAAATAAGCATCAATACCCCCTCTGTTTTCAAAACTCAGTTCTAAAGTCTCTGTGGTTTTAAAATGTTGCACTCGTGCCCCCTCTGATCATTTTCCGGCCATTTTTCCGGCGAAGAAGGGGGGCAATGGTGCATATTTTTTAAACCATAGGGGGTATCAGTGCTGATTTTTATTTCTCGCATATTTTTTGTTCTTTCCATTTTTTCCTTATTTTGTTTCATTTATTAATAAAGGTTTTTTTAAAAATTATTTTTATAATGTTCTTAAAATTTAAGTTATTTTTGTTTGAAAAAATAACATATAATGCATATGTACTTCTCAAATTAACAATTTTTGTTTTTTCTGAAAAAAAATAATTATTTTTAAGAACTTCAAAAAAATGAGGAATAAAATAAGAAACAAATTAATACAAAAATAAAAATGAATATCCTTTTTGGACATCTTAATCCTATGGACTTTTTTAGGCATGTCTAATTTTTTTTGTATAAGACTTTTTTTGCGTATTTTAATTTTTTTCATTTCGTTTTTCCATATTTTTACTTTTTTATTCTTTGTTTTTTTGAACTTTTCAAAAAATTATTCTAAGTAACAAAGAGTGAAAATGTTTAATTTGAGATAGATGTAATATATGTTAATTTTTTTATTTTTATTTTCATTTCAAACACAAAGAATTTGAAAATTTTTGAAACATTATAAAAAATTGAAAATATATTTAAAAAAATCTAGGAAAAGGAAAAAGAGATAGAAAATATTTTTAAAAAAAGATAAGAATAATAAACGAAAATAAGAAATGAGCACGAATGCCCCCTATGGTTTAAAAATTATGCGCCAATGCCCCAACTTCGCCGGAAAATGGCCGGAAAATGATCAGAGGGGGTGTGGGTGCAACGTTTTGAAACCACGGGGACTTTAGAAATAAGTTTTGAAAACAGAGGGGGTATTGGTACCAATTTTTCAAAGCACAGGGGGTAACGGAGCTATTTGGCCATGCACATTATTAAGTTCTATTTAGGAAATAAAACAATTTAAATGTTATTCAAGAAAATGACTTAAGTTTTAGTGCTATTTAGTGCAAATATTTCATAAGTAAAATATAATACTCTATACTCTGTATTTATCTTCAAAATTGGAATTATTCTACATGTTATGTTTAAAATAAGAGTATATGCTATTACGTTATGACACTGTATAGTACTCCCTCCGTCACCCAGTTTTTGTCCACTTTCATTTTTGAACACCATCCAATGCACTTCTTTAATCTATTTTATCTTGTAATTAGTATATTAAAAAATTATAGAAATTATATATTAATAATCTATATGTTAAGACAAATAAAAAAAATCACACATGACTACATTTAGGCTTACACATTGAGAGAATTTGACGAGTCAAAGTGCTTAGATGAACAGTTTCAAAAGTCAAAAATGGAAAAAAATTGGGGGACGGAGGAAGTACCTTCCACTGTATTTTTTGGTATTATTTATTGTAATTATTGACATTGTATTTTTATTTTAAAGATAAAAAATATATATATAGAATTCTTGTTTTGATATTTTCTTTGTTTTACTTTTAGTTTAATCTTTTTCCCATCTAGTAAAACATTGATTAGTTGATTAATTATCTCATCAGGTTTGGTTTGAGAACATCTATAGTTAGGGGATATTAAATTACTCTCTTTGTCCCAAAATATCTGTCAAGTTACATAAAATGGAGCAAAATTTCAAATTTTTTAGAATTCATTGTATTAAAAATTTGATAAAGAAATAAAAAATGAAATTTGTATATTAAAAATCCTTCAATGTTTTGTGCCGATTATCAAAAGAGGAAGTATGTAATCACATAATACTCCCTTCCTTACCAAAATCCATTCTCATTCATTTTTTTCTAATTCACCAAAATACTTCCATCTTCAATTAAAAACCATTTTTTCCTTCTACTTTTTTATCCTACCTATCACATAATTCTTTTTCATTTATAATCTCTCTATCACATCTTATTTTTATCTATCACATTTACTGAAAATAAATCAAAATATTTTAAGGTTCCTGCTAAACCTAATTTACTGAAAATATTTCAAGGTTCCTATTAAAATAATTTTAGTCCGTATTTAAGGAGTAATTATTTTATTTATCGAGCGATTTAAGAATGTTTATGATACTCAAATTGGATTTATAAAAAAAAGGGGAAAAATACAGTTTAATTATTACCTTCTTCGCGGGAGATGACGGAGACGGCAGACTGGACGAGCTCGAGGCAGAGGCGGAGCTTGTTTGGCTCCATGTGGGCCAGCCCTGGTATCGCTCCTTTGAACAGAAAATCCGACGTTAGGGTTCGGAGAATATCCAAAGACGTTACCCCATTAACCGTGGGGACGTTCGGGTCCGCGTGGTGGTCCAGCAGGACCGCCACCATATCCGGCGAAACCATCTCCGCCGCAATGTGGAGCGGCGTCTTCCCGGCGGGTCCCGCCGGGAAATTGACATCGGCGACCCCGAGCTCGAGGAGTGCCTTCACGACCTCACGGCTGCAGTTCTGGACGGCGTAATGCAGCGCCAGTGCGCCGTCCAGATTCAGCCCTTCGCTCATCACCATGAGCTTGATGAGCTCCACGTCGGACGAGTCGAGGGCACGCCTCATCCGGCGGATCCTCTGCTCCTCCAGAGTGGGGCCACCGAGGTCGTAGCGGCGGTGGCGCGGCAGTAAGGCGGAGGACTTGTGGCGGAGCTCGTCGATCTTGGCCGCGAGCTCGATGGGGAGATGTTTGGCTAGGAGGTCGGAGGGAAGCCCGGATTTGGCAACCAATTGGGAACATATACTGCAAAGCTCAGGGATTTCGTGTTTTGCTGAAACTAGCAACACTCTCATCACATCCTCCATTGAAGCCTTCTCAACCATGCTTCCTAGATGCCTCTACATATTTGAAAAAACAAAGATATGCATTATCAAGTTTGAAAAACCATGGAATCGAAAAAAAAAACACATACTCCCTAAAATTGTATTTGGATATGTATATAACTTTTATTAACGTGTGCATTTTTTTCATTGGTCATTTGAAAAATAAAATAATTTTTTTCACTTTTTTTGTCTATATTTAATCTTTTCATATAAAATAATTTGAAAATAAAAGATATTCAGTACCTTCTTCGAAACAGAAGTAGTATTTCACTAGGGATGAAAAAAGTAGTTTAATAGCAGAGGGAAAAAAATTAAATCCAACTAACCCCCAAGGTTCTCCACCATCGGTTCAAAGAATATCATACATTGGAAGGATAATAAATTGGTTTTTAAATAGAGAATGGAAGTGTTTTAGGAAATTGAAAAAAAACGAAAGAGGAAGGGTTTTATGGAGTATTATTTTAGCAAATAACTATCGATAATAAATAAATAAAGTGATTAAAATTTGACCGTGTAAATAGTAATTAAGAAGAACGTTTTAGGACGAAAGGAATATATCTATTCACACAAAAAAAGAAATATTTGCACTAAATAGCACTAAAACCTAAGTCATTTCCCTAAATAGTACTTAAACTGTTTTATTTTTTAAATAGCACTTAATAATGTCAATAATGTCCAGTGATAGCAAATATTTGCTTGAATAATGACTAATGCATAATGACTAAAAGTGCTACATTGGAAAGAAAAGCACATGTGATGCCATTTAGTGAAAGTCATTATATTTTAGTGTTATTTAAGTAAATTTCTCCAAAAAAAAATACGTACCCTCCAAGAGCACACAAAAAACATTTAAGGAGATGAAGGCCTACAAAGGCACAGAGAGCACTAAATAAGTTAGTGGGGAGAAGATAGAATAAAGATGTGGTGATAGTTGACTTGAGAGGGCAGTGCATTATTTGGTCCGACACATTGAAATATTTAGAAAGATGATAATTAAAGCTAATAAGATGAGTTGAGTTGAGTGATATGACAAGACTGGAGACAAGTGATAGATCATAAACACATGTTCCTAGGGAGACACCAATCTCCCCAATCTGGACTTGTTGATTTTGAGTGAGTGCCTATCACTACTCATTTTAATCATTACTACTACTATACATTCAAGAAAGAAAGAAATAAAAACAAAAACTCTTTCTTTTTTCGAGCTAAGAATGCATCAAGAAAATAGAAACATGGGTTTTCTTCGTTTTTGTTAATAATAACCATAATAAGTTGCTAAAATATATAAAAACAGAGAAACATTCTATGACAAAACAAAACCCAGATTTTTACACTACAAGAGGCAGGCATGAATTGTGTATGTGGTTCAAACCTGGGTGAGTAGGGCGAGCTGGTCGACGCCGAAAGATCGAGCGGCGGAGAGAGTGTCGAGGGCGAGATCGACGGCGGAGGAGCAATGCATGTGCCAGCACCCGATCTCCCGGCAGTCCGGCCGGGGCTGGTGTTTCTGGGGCACGAGCGACACCTGCCCGGTGTACATGAACTGCAGCATCAGCGTGAACACCTCGTACCCCACCGAGTTCACCGGGATCACCGCGGCCGATGACGACGACCTCCTCGGCGACGCGGGGTCGGGGGAATCGTGGCCGCCGTGAAAGAGCCTCCGGAAGAAGAGGCTCCGGGCGGCCAAGATGCAGCGGTGGGCGTGGACCAATCTGCCCTCCACGCTGAAGGTGACGTCGCTGAAGGCCTGGCCGTTGATGAGGAGATTCAAGTAATCCAAGGACAGAGATCTCAAGCACTCTTCCACGCTAGTACTACTACTACTACTCATCGTCGAATTAATTAAGGATCTATCGATGTGTTTGTTTAATTGTTTAGCAGTGTTTTTCCTGTATGTATGTGTCACTGCTAGCTAGCTAAAAATTGTTTGATGGGAAAAGGGAAGGAGGGGGAGAATGAAGGAGGAAGCTAAGAGAGAAGAGAAGGGGAAGGGGTTTTACGGTAGCTAACAAGCTCTAGCTAGCTAGGTGAGTAATGAATGCTGGAAGCCCACCTAGGTACCTACATAGTACACTTGGGTGTTTACGTTTTTTGTTTCTTCCCCATTTTCCACGGGAGTAATGCTAGAGTCACAAACAAACAGTTTACAAAATTCACAAACTTACTTTTTTAACATTTTTCTAGAAATTAAATAAGATGCACTTAAATAATATAAGATATTTTAATTAAAATCCAAAAAAAGCAAGTTTGTGAAATTTGTGAACTATATGTTTGTGACTTTAGTATTTTCCTTTCCACTCTCATACCCAATTAAATTAAATAGAAATATTTACACTAAATAGCACTAAAATTTAAGTTATTTCTCTAAATAATACTCCCTCCGTCCTAGAAATCCTTTCTCCTTTCTTTTTTCATCTGTCCCAAAAAACACTTCAGATTTCTATTAAAAAGTCATTTTTACCCCTTATTTTTTCATACCCTACCTATCACACCATACCTTTTTACTAATAACCTATCCATCAAATCATATTTTTACCCATCACATCAAAGGATATTTTTGGAAATTTAATACCAAAATACACTCCCCTTAAATCCCTCTTCAGAACCAAAACTCTCATGTTTTCCAGGACGGAGGGAGTATTAAAATGGTTTTATTCTCTAAATATCACTTAATAATATCCAGAAGAAAGATTATTGTTTAGTGATGACAAACATTTACTTGAATAATGACGATTTGATAATAACTAAAAGTCCTACATTAGAGAGAGAAAACACATATGATACGATTTAAAAAATTATTATATTTTAGTGTTATTTAAATAAATTTTTCAATTAAATAAAGTCTGTTGTACCCCAAATTTTGTATCCCAATTTAACTTGCACACGATGCTATCACACATTTAGAGAACACTATAGAACATGTGGTGTGTGGAATATAATAATGTTACTCGCCCGTCCTTAAATGGATTTCATATAGCGGGTTACGAAGTAAAATTTCATACTTTTTGAAATCATTTTATTTAGAAATTGGTATATCAATAAGATATAAAAATTACATATTAAAAAACTACGTCAAAAGTTGTACAAAATAAGAGGTGACAAGAATATTTTATTTTATCAAATACTTAATGAAATCGTGTAAACAAACAAAAGTTATCGAGAGGAAAGAAAAAAAATTGTAATCTATTAAGGGACGAAGGTAGTAAATAAATTAGCAATAGAAACAATAGTATAAATAGATGATGAGAGTCCTCATTTTTAACCATTCTCCATCATGGGGTAGAGGATCGTACTCTCAAGGCTGAGCCTTAGGGGTGTTCATCGGGTCAAACCCGGACTGGACCGGCCCGGACCGGGACCGGACCGGGACCGAATAAGGGGCATTTGGTGGACCGAAGACCGGACCGATTAAGCTAAGGACCGGCTCGGGACCGGACCGGGACCGGACCAAATAAATGTTATTTTTAATTTTTTTTAAAATTTGATTTTATTTGTTTAATTTAAAGTATTCAATTGAATAAAAATATTACTACAACTAATTTTTTATTGTAGCATACTCTAAACATTGTCAAACACATTTGTTTTGAATTTTTAAAAAAACTTTAAACAAAATATATATCTTCCATCTGTATTACCTAAAATTTGTTCGTAATTTTTATTTTACACAGAGAATATTCTACTTCTTCATTCATTTTTGCTTTTTTGTAATATTTTTTTGAGTTTTCGATTTATTTTGACAAACGAATACATTTTTTACTATTTTTGTTCATGAGATTGTTTACAATGTTTGTTTTTGCGGATTATCGTTTCATTATTGATAAAGTACAAATTTAAGTGATAGTATTGGTATATAAATTTGAAATGCATTAGATCGTTAGTATAAAGGTAATGTTTACTTTTTCACACTTTTCATATTTAAAATATATAAAAATCATTAGAATTGGAATCTTATTTTGAATTGAAAATGTATTTAAAAAATTATATTAAATAATAAAATCAAAACATTTAAAAAAAAATTTAGTATTAAAGTTAAACTAATTTTAGACATAAGAAAAAACCTTAAAGAAATACAATATTATAATACTATATAGAAAAAATATTTTAAAAAAATAAAATGTAATCGGTCCACCGGTCCGGACCAAAACCCGGTGGACCGGACCGGACCGGAACCCGAATAAGGAAAAATTGAGGACCGAAGACCGGACCGAATAAGGACCGGTCCGGTCCGGTTTTGGCCGGGTTTCGAGTCGGTCCGGGTCCGGACTGAATAATGCACACCCCTACTGAGCCTCGTGTTAACTCCAGACCAGGCCCACATCACATGGAGATCTACGTGTCTTGTCAAATCAGTGGACCCACGATTGGACTTCTACCACGCCTCTGTTAGCTAGATTAGTTGTGGCCACCCTATTGTAACCCATCATTTGTAGCCACCCTAATGCTAATCATGTGGTTGGCGTCGTCGGTCGAACGACAGGATCTTGGTGGGCCCAGCCCGTTAGGTCATGGACTAACGGTCAGGAAGGCCCATTTATAATATGTATATAAGCCCCTATTTAAGAGGTGAAGGACAAGTTCATTCATTCGAACACTAATATTCTTTGTCTCTCTTGATTCTTAACTTGAACATAGTCGACTCTCGTTTGATACTCTTTTTCCTAGTTTCTTAGGCCCCTAGGGTTTTAGAACCCAGCAACGACCTCTAAGTAAGGGAACCCTTTTGCAGTACATCGGAGGGGGGGACATCCTAGCCTCTTCGGTGTCTTGGTGGGGCTAGGGTGGGGGCACAGTTTCGCTAGACGGCATTTGAAACTTATCGTGGGAAGGAGGAGGTGAAGCGACAGGTAATGATGGATTCGATGGAGATCATGCATAACCGCTCGATCGAAGAGATGAGACGGCTGCGACACAAATACCAAAGGGAGCCACTCGAGAGACACGTGTAAGGCCCAGAGGGAGGTAGCTAGGAAACGATTGTGGATTTTTCTGGGAAATGATTGTGGACTCTTCATCCAACAAGTGGCCCACTTACACTATGTTTGGTTCAATGATTTTGGAAGGAAAAGGTAAGAAATTGATTTTCTCTCATTTTCCTCATCAAAATAGGAAGAATTTGATTTTCTCTCCACTTAGTGCATTTATCTTCTCATTTTCTTTTACTTCCACTTTTCTCATGAAAAATTGTTTTCGAGTTCATTTTCTTTTGGGCCATGAGTTTGGCCAAGATTTCTTAATAAATGAGTCCAAATGTAATGATTTACAAGACGCTCGTCTACACCAAGCTAAACCTAATACTTGCGTCATTCTTCGTTCTCAAGAAGCTCTGTGTTTTTTTTAAGAAAAAATTACCCAAAATAATCCCAACTTTACCCGGTTTTTTAAAAATAATCCCACCTTTCACTGTGATGCATAATAATCCTAACTTTACTGAAATTTGCCAATTTTGGATCGCCGTTAAGTGTCTAACGGAGGGTTAACGGAAATGCCCGTTTTGGGCAACAAAATGAAAGTTGGGATTATTTTTGATGAATTTTTGTTTTTTAATTTTTTTTTTTGAAATTTTTTATTTAAATTTTTTGAATTACTTTCTACCTCCATCATCATTTCTTTTTCTTTTTTAAAGATTAGTCTTAGTTTAAAAAATAAAAATAATAGATATAAAAAATGAAAAAAATGAGAAATGTAACTAAAATGATACAAAAATAATAAAATAAATAAGGTAATCAATGCAAACTAACTTGAAATTGGTAAAAGTAAAATAAAAATATACGGGAGAGTTTTAATATTTTACGTATTATACAAAGTATTAACATATCACTACTTATTTTTTAGAAAAAATTATCTACAATAATTCCAATTTTACCGGACGGCTTGTTCTTTTAAAAAATAAGTAGTATATTAAGACCTCGTATAGTGTGTAAAATGTTAAAACCCACCACTCCGTATATATTTATTTTATTTCTTACCAGTTTCTGTTTAATTTCTATTGATTACATTATTTATTTGATTAAGTTTGTATTATTTTAGTTATTTTTCGCATTTTCATTAATTTTTTTTATCTATTTTTTTCTAAGGTAAGAATAATCTTTAAAAAAGAAAAAGAAATGGAGGTTAAAAGTAATTCAAAAAATTTAAATAAAAAATTTCAAAAAAAAATTAAAAAACAAAAATTCATCAAAAATAATCCCAACTTTCATTTTGTTGTCTAAAACGGGCATTTCCGTTAACTTTTCGTTAGAAATTTAACGGCGACCCAAAATTGGCAAATTTCAATAAAGTTGGGATTATTATGCATGTGAAAGGTGGAATTATTTTTGAAAGACAGGGTAAAGTTAAGATTATTTTGGGTAATTTTTCCTTTTTTTATCATTGCTATACTTGTCTCATAATTTAATCTCCCCCCTCCGATATTTCAACCCTCAATACTCCACGTAATAAGTACAAAAATGAAATAAAATTGGGTTGATTACTTCCAATGCTCGACTCATTATGATTTGATGTTGGTGACTTTATTATTGCATGTACCCATTCCATCCCTCCTTCAACACACTGAAATTACATGGATGTCCCTGTCATCCGATTTGATTTGATGGGGCGTAGCGACTTTTTTTGATCCATCTTTCCTCCTCTTGGTCTCCTTCCTTGATACTCCTCTCTCCAAACTCCAAAAATACTTGTTTAATTTCTTTTGTTTGCTTTTAAAGAGATTTGTCTTATTTATATTATTCCTCTGTTTCAATTTAAATTGTCTGTTTCAATTTATTATATTTGATTGAAATTATTACTAATATAATTTATTTGAGACTTAGGGTAGATTTAAAATTATTGTTTTATCTATTTAAAAATTACACCAAAAGTT